CTGAAATTATTTTGTGAAAACTCACTTACTCTCTATGTATGTATGCTCCCTAACCCAACACCAATACTGCCTCATGGGTCAGTTTCCTACCTATATGCTTGATCAACCCAGATATAAAGATACTGGCCAAAATTCTTGCTTTCAGATTTAAGCTCTTTAATAGACAAAGACTTAAGTCGGGTTTCTCCCCCTATACATCAAGCAACAACATCAGAAGGATCTTACGTTTGATTCATATTGCCAAACAACTTTTTTTCCTTGCCATGCTCTTGTCGTTGGACATCATAAAAGCATTCGACTCCTTGTCAAAGGAATACCTCTTCTTCATTCTGGAGATACAGGCACTGAATTCCCACCAGTCTGCCTTCATAAAGTATTTTGTATACTGCTCTCATACATTCCCCATAGCTAGAGGAACATGATAGGGATGTCCACTTTCCCATAGTCTGGCTATAGAACCACTAGCTCACCTAATCAGAATGAATACTGATATCTCTGAGGTGAAGGTGGCTGGCCATCATCACAAAATAACCTTGCTTGAAAATTATGTCCCATCTCTATGTTCCTTTTATCTCTATCCCTAACCATTTTCTCACCCTTCAAAAATTTGGTGTAGTATCTGGATTCTCTTTTATCAAAAGCAAATCGTAAGCACCTAATATATAATTTCCCACATCCCTGTAAAACCAATTGAAAGACCGCTTTGTGTTCACTTGGGTTTCTTCCAGGCTCCCTTATCGAAGTGTTCTTCTCACCAAAGGCTACAGTATGCTGTATCCATCCAAATATCCCCACCTTTGTAGACAATTACACAGCTCGCTGTACCAATGGAAAGAACACGCCTGCAAAGTAGAGGAGTTTTGTTAAAAAATGAGTGATCTTTACAGCTGTGATTTTGCCTAGGCAGGTTATAGGAGTGTAGCTGTAATGATGACTTTAACTAAATTCCTTTACTTTGCTGTGTGTTACCAATACATATCCTAACCTGTTGAGCACTTTAATCCTGTAGTCTTACGTTTACACTAGATCTAGAACTACAACAGCATGGCACGTATTGTAGCACCCGAAGGGATATGGGGTTTTGGGAATAGCGCACATGTTTATTTACGTTAAGCTGACTACATTCATAATGTAAAAAGTTAAGCTAAAACTATTTACACTTAAGACAGTATTGTGTTTTAAATTAGGAACCTCGACTGCTTATGTAATCACATTATACATATGGTTTAAATATAAAAACATGTCATTACATAAGCAGGCTTTGTTAAGATTATTTCATAATATATACAGTGCTGTGCAAGAGTTTTAGGCACTTGCTATCCCCCCTTCAGTCTATCATGAATGCTGCTGCTAGACTCATCCACCTAACCAACCACTCAGTGTCTGCAACTCCCCTCTGCCAATCCCTGCACTGGCTTCCAATCACCCAAAAAATTAAATTGCAAATATTAACAACTTACAAAGCTGAGGAATCCCGCTGTTTACATTGTATTCTGCCAGGTGCCGCCAGCACCTGTCTAAATACCCAATCAGAACTCTGATCGATCGAGGAATGTTGCCTGAAAGGGAGCCGACAACCCCACACATAGTGCGAATTTCAGCCGGTACATTAAAAACTGTCCGAAATTCAACCAATGTATGGGCACCCTTACACACAGTTTTTTTTTTTTTATAAACTTGGCAGGAGGGTTGTTCCCATCACCTAGGAAGACTAACCACAAGGCTATCTCAGTTGCTTTTGTCTATGCATATAATCCCAGACTGATTCAGTGGTGTTGAGATCAGGGCTCTTTGTGGGTCATACTATCTCAAGACCCCTTTTTTGTTGTTTTTGGTGAATATATTTTTTTGACTTTGGCTGTATGTTCGGGGTCATTGTCCTGCTGCAAAATGAATTTAGGAGCAATCAGACACCCCCCTGATGGTATTGAATAATGGATAGGTATCTGCCTGTACTTTCCAGTATTGAAGAGACCATTAATTCTGCCCAAATCCATGTGTCGAAATGCAGCCCTGAACCTGCTCGGATCCTCCAGCATTTTGCCTGTGTCCTGCATGCACATCGTTGTACTGCTCTTTAGGCCTTTGGTAAACAAAATGCCTTTTGTTACAGCCAGATATTTAAAATGTGGACTCTTCAGTCTAAAGCACTTGCTGCCATTTTTCTGCACCTCAGTTCTTGTGGTTTTTCTTTGCTTAGGCGGGTCACTTTTCTTCATTTCAGAATGATGGCTTTTTAGCCAAAAGTCTTGAATGAAGACCACTTCTGACCAGGCTTCTGACAAGGGTCCTGCTGGTTTCTGCCGAGTGTAAGGTTATGGTGCCACTGGACATCTTCTGTTTGCAAAGGGCAGTCAGCATGATGTCTCGTCTGCTGCACTAAGTTTCTGCCTGTGAGAGATTTCATTGATGCAGGAAGACCACCATTGCTGTTGTCAGTCTTGCAATTGTTTAAGATTTTTTGCATTGAACTGTGTCCTGTGGTACAGCCGATTCTGTTAGATTTAATGTGATTTAACTAAATGTTATTTTGATCATTAGCACTTGTTTGGTATAGCTCAGGGGTCGGCAACCTGAGGCTCCGGAGCCGCATGTGGCTCTTTCATCCCTCTGCTGCAGCTCCCGGTCCAGGGGCCGAAGTACCGCAAGTGCAGCCGGTGCGGTGGGGGTGGTACGGGTGTAACTGCACACTGTGTGCTGTTATTTAATGTAATTAGAAAAGTGGATTATAATGGGGAACGTTACACTGTAATGTTGCCTTTTTATAATCTATTTCTCTGATTAAATGATTAGACAGGGCCGCTGTTCTACCAAAGTTTGTGACTAGGTTGGAATGTGTGACCGGTGACTTGTTCACACATTTCAATGTAATCCCGCCCAGTTTTTCTGCGGTGGAACATGTGAACGCTAATAGGTGAAGCATTCCAACGCTTTCTCAGCTGTTCCAGGGCAGATCGTCATCGCAAATCGTATGTAAAGGAGAACTGATCTGCCCTGGAACAGCTGTTCGGTCCTGAAATGTCACTTCTATCCGACTTTGTGAGTGGGGTGGAATGCGAGATCGCACTCAGTCAGATAGAAGTGACATTTCAGGACCGAACAGCGGTTCCAGGGCAGATCAGTTCTCCTGCACATACGATTTGCGATGCCGATTTGAGTCCGGTGCGTTACTAAGCCCTGAGTCCGGTGCGTTACTAAGCCCTGAGTCCGGTGCGTTACTAAGCCCTGAGTCCGGTGCGTTACTAAGCCCTGAGTCCGGTGCGTTACTAAGCCCTGAGTCCGGTGCGTTACTAAGCCCTGAGTCCGGTGCGTTACTAAGCCCTGAGTCCGGTGCGTTACTAAGCCCTGAGTCCGGTGCGTTACTAAGCCCTGAGTCCGGTGCGTTACTAAGCCCTGAGTCCGGTGCGTTACTAAGCCCTGAGTCCGGTGCGTTACTAAGCCCTGAGTCCGGTGCGTTACTAAGCCCTGAGTCCGGTGCGTTACTAAGCCCAGATATACCTATATACATGCTATACATAGCATAAAGGTAAAAAAAAAACTATACATGCAGTGTTATCTTCGTTTTAGATGTCAAAAAGGTTTTGTGGCTCCCGGTGTTTTCTTTTCTGTGGGAAACCGATCCAAATGGCTCTTTGAGTGTTTAAGGTTGATGACCCCTGGTATAGCTGTCAATAAAAGCTATTCCATTATTTTTACCAAAAGCACCCTCACCTTATTGCTTTTTTCCCCAAGTGCCTTAAACTTTTGCACAGTATTGTATCTCCGTAAAACAAAAAACTAATATATTCACTTCGTCACATTCATCAATGGACATATAGAACTAGGAATGCTACCATTTAGGCATTACTGTGCCAGTAATAAATGGCTTACAGGGAAATATTGTATTTAGAGTATTTCTTCTTCTCCTGTGTCCACATCAAAGACAGTTACATAATTCTTTTGAACATTGGAGATAATTTAACAGATGGCATTTCTCAGAATATGTTTAACAGTAGCAGTACACTGCATATCAATTTTATTGGCTGTAGATTTGTCATTGTCAAGAAAGGTCTGTATTAATAGGATGCAGACATTATATTGTTAATCAAACCAGTCTTCAAATCTTACCATCACATCACTGTGACTATTGGTGGCATATGAGTACAGATTTGAGAGACACTTGGGCTGATCTACTAAAAGAGTTAAGGATCTTAGCTCAAACAATTGAGCAAGGCTCTCCTAGCCCTCTTGTCTTGAACAGTATTGTAACTGCACTGTCTCCCTTTGTTTTGTAAAGCCCTGTGCACCTTTATACATTTATAAATGTATAAAGAGGCTCTGCCTCTTTGTCAAGCCTCAATTGAAAGGGCAATAGCTTTTAATTTCAATTGAGGCTTGACAAAGAGGCAGAGCCTCGAAACGCGTAGCCGCCGGCAGTGGACACTACCCTTGTCCTGCTCTTTTCATTCCCCTTTGTTTTTGACATTCCTGAGACACCACCCCCACAGACTATTGGGGTCTCCATACGGTCCGGCACTAACGCTGCCTATACTCGTGCAGCCGCGGCTCAGCCTGGCCAGCTGAGTTCACGCTGTTCATAGATCACCCCTGACAGTCCTCGGTTCGTTCCCCTGCACATTTTCCCGGCGCTGTAGGACCAGCGGACACACGATATGCTGACAACAGTAACGTGAGTGGTTTCTTTACAGTAGTGGCGCTTTCTTATTGTGTGAATTTAGTCATGATCAGTTACTAGTATTCCTCCTTTTTTTTGGCACACTTGACAAAATAATTAGTGTTCAGCTAAAATATTACCAGTGTGTAACAGAACCCTTCAAGGTCAAAGCCACTAACCTTTTCACAGCCAGGCACATATTTGATATTGGATAGGACTGTAATACCCTTCTAACGGTTATTTTTTTTTTTTAATGTATGTATTTTGTATGAGGCTAACAAAGTAGAGACTTGGTCGTTTTTCTAATTTAAATAGTTACTATATAATAATCTTATCTTCTCTCTAGGGAGGACCTGAAGATGCCTCATAGTAAGATAAATGGACATCCAAAGGGATTATCAAGGTCTGAGTGTCGGCTGGGATCCACATCCAGCTCACAAAGTAACATCACAGTGAGTCCTTCCAGGCATTCTAGTGTTAAGAAGGTAACAGGAGTTGGAGGCACTACATATGAAATATCCGTATAGAACTCAACATGCCTGCAGGTGATGAACTATTAATATACAAGGCATATTTTCTGACCGTACAGAAGACATAAACTATGGAGAGAATTTATAAACGGTCAATGGGAGCTTTAAAACCTGAATGATGAAGGACTCATATAATGAGAACAGTGGTTATTACAGAGAAGACTGGCGATCATCGGGAAAAAAAATGAAACAAAATTAAGCCATTGTACGTGTTTCTGTCCAACAAAACAAGGATGAAATGTTGTTTTAAACTTGTGATGTGAGAAGAGTGGGACAACTATTTTATTTTTTTATTTCAAGTTTTTTTTGTTGGTAATGGAGCAGAGTGAAAGAATTCCATCCATGAGAGATTTCCCAGGAAATATGGATCAGGATCGAAAACTGCCCCAGGTGTTCTCTTCATTCTCTTCATTCTTTACATTTTTTAACCATGGTGACAAAAGTGTGTGTGTGTGTGTGTATGACTGTATGCACTAGAAAAGCTGTTCTTTTGAGGAGTAATGCAGTACCCTATACTGTTTTATTGTGGAAGGTATATGGAGCAAAAAATAGCAGAATAGTGTGAACACAGTTTGTTCCATCCAGTAGCAACTGAAGCGTGTTGGGTAGAAGGAAAACCTTCAGTGAGGCAGGGTGTGGTAGGCATTAGTCTTGCATGCCTCCATGCTTTCCGTTTCACATCGGCCTCCAGCATTCTATGCCTGCTGTAGCTGTCCATCTCAAAGACCATTGGGACAGGAGAATCCGTGTAATGGGACTGTAGGTGAGATTAATGTGCTTAATTCACCTCACCCAGCTAAACCCCCCATTGGTTAGAGCTTTAGGTGATACCAACCACAGGCACCTATAAGCGGAAGCCATCTTGGGGGCCAAGTAGTTACTTGTTGGCATCACCATATTATTTTTGTCTCGCTTTAAGAGGCTGACTGCTGGGTTAGCCAGTAAAAACGCTCTCTCTGGTTTTTGTATGACCTGTCCACACAAAAAACAAGAGCTTTGCTAAATATGAAGATTTACAAAGATTTTACAGATAACTTTTATGGTTTACCTATGTTATGTAATGAAGGTTTCATTTGTATATTTAAGTATTAGGTCAAGAAAATACAACACAAGCGATCTGTGATACTGCAGCATTTTTTTTTTATCTGGAGGCAGTTTGTAAATTTTACATTTATTTTATATATTAACTCTTGCAAACATGTTATTTTGTGTGAGTGTGCGTGTGTGTGTATAGTGTTTTTTTTTTGTTTTTTTTTTTAATTGTACATTTTTTGCTCCGTTGCTGTGATGCATCAGTGTTATAAAACATGCAGATGTTATCCTGCCTTAACCATCACCTCTAAAACGGGGGTAAAGCAACGTGGTGCTGTGTGACTGCTACTTTTCGTAGTGGGTTGCTCCTCTACTTGCCAATGTAATAAATCACATTCTTGATAGAGCAACATTCACAAATAAAGATCTTTTTCATATTGCTATTTATCAAGGAGAATGACATGGTCAGTGGTACCTTCCAAGTAACACAGAGGCTGAAGAAGGTGAAGCGCAAACAGAAGTAAAAATATGCTGAAGTATTATAAGTACCATTTAAGAAAGAGAAGTCCTCAATTTCCAATCCATGAAATAAACTCCTAATAAACTATTTATGAACTATGGCACTGAGCAGAAATCCTATTTGTTATATTTGCTCTATAAAAGCCCATTTTAATGTATGTCATGGGTATTATAACATATGTTGTCCTTCTTTTTTTTTTTTTTTTTTTTTTTTTTTTAAGAGTGGGTCTTCATTTTGGTAATATTAGACCTTTGTTGCATAAAGCTGGGGCAAAGAAAATGGAGCTGTAGCACATAGCAGCAAGAAGAATCCATGTCTGTTTTCCTTGTTCCGGTTACAAGATGAAAACCCAGACTTATTTAGTTATTTTTCCTTGTTCCACTTTTTTTCCCTTATGTTTTCCGTTACCTTTTTTCTAATTTATTTTTAATGAAGGAAATATTCTGTATTTACTGTTTGTCTTATCCTCCTAAGGATGTAACAGACTTTTGAATTTAGACTATTTTGAGGTAGATAGAAGGAAATAAAAAAAAAAGTTGGAAAAGCGTTGTCCCAGTTTTTGTTGGTAGTTCATATTTTATTTGCAGGCTGCTACATAAAAATATTATCCTGATTTTCGCTCAAATATGTGCGCTTTTATTACACCCATCTTGCAGTTTACAGCAGATTGTATTGAAGTGCAAATATGTTCGATAAATGCACAGACACTTTCTAATCTGAATGTTTTCACAAAGCTTTTTATGCAGATTATTGGATGGATGTGGCAGGTGTGGAATAGAGAATGAAGCTGCTAAGGACGACTTGCAATTTAAAAAACTAAATTAAAAAAATAACACACAATCTGGGGGGTCTAAAGTGCATACATAGTGTAAGTATTAGTTTTCTGTAAAGTCTCCATCTGGCTTCAAGTCCCAATCTGATTCATTTCACGGTCTCCATCTATAGACACAGTATTTTGTGTTATACCTACTCAAGCCTATGAGGCATTCTGCACAACAGAGGGAAGCAAAAGGTGGCTGAGGGTCCTAGTGAATGGCGTGAGCTACAAGATGGCTGTTTCCAGTTTTAGGCCCCCTTCACATTCTCTGGGCTGTTTTGATTCATTAGTGTGCATTGCGTTAAGACAACCCATTCATTTTGAATACGCTGCCAAATCGAGAGCTTAGTGATGAGGAATAGCAACCGCAGCACACCAAAGATGGTTTGTTAACACATGGCATGGTAAGGTGTGTTTTGCAACACGCTGATGTGAAGAGGGCCTTAAGGAAAGTTATCGGATACAAGTATGAGAGGTGTTATTAGGGACTTGTTTGTATAACTGCAAGTTCCATTATCCTTCATTATCATTATTCTTCATTTCCTTGATTGGTTGGAGACCGCGGACTTGTTTAGGTCGATGACATTCTAAGTAGTGAAAGAAAAGGTAGAGATGACAAGCCAGCAGTAGCAAGTGTCATATTTCTACTGTTCACATTGTCCCTTTAAATAATCCTTGGTATAAAAATACAATAATTGCCATTACTGCAATGTAGATGCATTTATTCATTTTTTCATTTTTGTTATTTAACTATCCTGTCTGAGACTAGAAGCCTTTAGTTTACACGGTCGTGGACATATTTACGGAGATTTATCTTTCTTACTTGCATTGAAGTCCGTGAAAAAGGTCTTACTATGGATCTATACTCTTGTGTTTCTACCTCCTTGCTGCTAGCAACTTTCTGCACAGCCAGACCATTGTTAGACTTCCTGAACTTCCTATTTCAATTTCATACCTCATGCTGAACTTTATAATTGCACTGGTCATATGCTGACCATTAATAAATATTGGCCATGCCACTAAATTTGGATTATTGGACAAAAAAATACCTTGAACGAGTTTTCCCTTATTGCTCAGTGGGGGTGATTTTAGGGAAAGATTGAAAGAAGTAACATAAATTTTTCCCCTTTTATAGGAAATTAGGCCAAAATAATAAATCTCACTTTGAAGGGTGGTGATGTGCAGTAATCAATACCAAGCAGTCAGATTTCATAATTTTAAAAAATAAACCTGTGTTCACATAAACTCTCCTGAATTACAGGCAGCCATGTATAGTCAGACATCCTATAGCACTTTCCAGAAGACCTAAAGACTAAGGAGCTCTAATTTACATATAATTATTGGCCCTGACCAAGCCTCTGGTGACTTACTATTGGTCATTGAGGCTATCCATCATGAGGATGGACTATGGGAGGAGTGGAGAGAGTGCAACTTTAGAAACTGAATGTTGATTGTCCCTGAGCTTTAGAAATTCTAAGGAGCTCTACTGGGTATCTGAACATGTTGGAAAAACTCACTAGGTGTTTTCATATGCATGGTTGTCTGCAGTTTAGGAGAGTTGGGCCTTGCATCAGTGGTCTCTTAAGAGGCAGTCAAGAGTACAGTGCACTTTGTAGGAATACTAATATTCCACTTCAGAAGCTTGGCACTGCACTTGGTGCAACAACCAAGCACATGTGCACACACAGCAGTGCTGCTGCTTGTAGGGTATGGTGAGCCCTGTAAACAGTGCATGAGGGGGCATTCTGGCTGTGCCCGATGCAGTCAGGCCTCAAATGATCTCTTAAACAGCCATCAATATGAAAGTTCTACAAAAAGCCGCATTCAACAAGAATTCCACCATAGTAAAAATTTTAATTGATGAATCCAACAGTACAAAAACACACTGACAATTTCCCCACATTGATCCACAATCACGCGTTTCACCCCTTGTGCTTAGTCATAGAGATCTGACTGAAACGTGTGAGGCTGTGGATCAACGTAGAGAAATTGTCAGTGTGTTTTTGTACTGTTTGATTCATCAATTAAAGTTTTTACTATGGTGCAAGTCTAGTGGAGTGCGGCTCTTTGTAGAACGTTCAGATTAAATGGCACGTTTGGTAGCCTGCACCTGAGCTACCGCCATGCTGCAGGATTATGCAGCCATACTGTAGTCCATGTGAGTGGTGTTTATTCATTTTGGATTACAAGCCATCAATATGAACCTTAAAAGGGTTAAGTAAATTGTATACCATAATGTATCTGATGGGCCAATATGCATTGCTGCATTTTAGGCTTCTTTTCTAACGTTCAAATTTGTGATTTGGCTGAACTGATGAGGCCTTGTAAAGAACATGAATGTGCAATAGCTCATAGCAACCAGTGAAAGGACCATTTTTTTCTGATAAGAAAAGGGAATTATCCCCCTCATTAAATCTGCCTTAAAGTGCACCTGTCACGATAGAAATAAGTATGCAGCCTTTTGATTTTTGTAGTAGTGGTAGCTTGAGGAAACAACATGGCTTCTAGCAACTTCTAAAATAATTTCCCACATTTCTGTCAGGACTGATTGAAATCCACAATAACCAGTAGGTATTTTGCACCCATGCAAAGTGCAAACATTTTATTAGATTTGTTGGAAATGTGCAATGTATCCCTTCATTGTTGCTGAGAGTGTAGTGATTGTATATAGATTATCACACAGCTCTGTAACAATGAAAAGAACCAAACACTACACAACATGATTGAGATTTATCTTTTATGTCACGTTCATGATGTTATTCTGTAAACGAGTGAGATGTCAGCTCTTTGCCTTTTGCCCTTTCAGGTCTTTTAACAGTTACCAGTTATTTTCTGTCATGTCTGCTAATGTTTACCAAGCGTCTGCAAATGTCTGTACGTGTTTACCGGGTACCCCAATATATGTACATTTATATTCAGTAACGTCTGACTGTAATTGGTTAATAAATGCCCCAGTTATTTTTGTCTATTTTTTATGCTGATATTAATACCTGTTAAAAAAATAGATTTAGAAAAGAAAACACCAATCTTACAAACATAATTTGTTTTCTTTTAAACATTCTCTCCTGTTTGTCGTAGATGCATTTTAA